CCCAACAGAACTTTCTGTGATGATAAAAATGTTCTATACCTATAGTGTCCAATATAGCAGCCACTGAGTATTTGAGATGTGGCTAGTATGACAGAGCAACTACATTTTTAATTTTAATTAAATTTAAATAGCCAGACAAGGCTAGTGGCTACTATATAGGACAATGCAATATCTCGAATATATTACACGGCATGATAAGAAGACAGATGGAGTTTCTAACTTAGAAAATACTTGCAAAACAAAAATAGAGTGACAAATTACAGAAATGTTTTACTGCAACTAAGATGAAATTCAAGAGGGAACTGTACAATAATTCCATATATTTAGGCATAGAAATACACCTAAATATTGTGTTTAGGCACAAGAAAATGATCAGAAATGATCACAAGTTACTTGAAAGCATTAAAGTGCTTCCATTAAAATAAAATATGTCCACCTTGCTCGAATGGTTTAATAGGAATACGGCATGAAAGGTCCAATTAGTGGCTCTGATGTAGTAGAAAGAAAATTAAACTGGGAATCTGAAGACCTGCTCTGTCCCAGTTTGGCACAGACATGTGGTATGACCCCTGAGGCCTTAATTTCCTCATATGCAAAGTAAGTGAGCTAGACCAGATGATTTCTAAGATGCCTAACAATAATTTAAGAAACAAACAAAGAAAGAAACAACTGTATGACTAATACTTAAATTTTCAAACCAATTCTGGCAACACAAATTATGAGATTTATTTGCCCTAAAAATCAGAAGAACGTTTAACTTTGTGGTTGCTCAGACTGAAAAAGACTAGGGCACGGTTTTTCTTCCTCTCATTATTCATGTATGTGGACTTAGCAAGAAGTTCGGCAACAGGAACTGAGAGAGCTGGAGTGGTAAGCCTGGTGTCAAAGATCCTAGTCTAAGGCCCACATTCACAAAGGCCAACAGCCAAACATCATCCAAGAACGTGAACTTGTGCCTGATCGGGGCTCCTAATCCTACTAGATTTGGGTGTCCTTGACTCACAGATTGGGATCGTCACAAGTCCAAAAATCTTGAAAATCCAGACACAGAGAAGTACAAGGCCATAGAAATGTTTTTGGATGGACTATAGTATTCTATAGAAAAAACAGTCATTATTTAATTTCTGAAGAGAGTATAAAAGAAGGTTAAGGCTTAGACTGAAGCACAGGGGCTTCACTTAAAAAAACAAAAAAATAAGACTTGCTAGATGGTAAGGAGCAGAATATATAATCAAGGGAGTTGTAGAATCTCTTCTTTTATCCCAGAGATTTTTACAGAATCCAAGACAGAGAGAAGAGCCTCCCTAAGGAAGCAATGGAGACAAAATAAGCCCTTGAGCCTCCTTTGAATTCTGTGTAGCCTATTTTTAAAAACAGCCCATCTTTAAAACAAAAGTTTACCCTGCAAAAGAAAGTCATTAATGTTAATTGAAAAAATAGTCTAACAATTTTTATGTAGGCCATATACTGTTCTGAGAATTTTCTTAATGATAACAATTTTGGAGTCTTTGTTTAGGGATCTTACAAACAGCAGGCATTACAAAGAGTAGGCATTATTTGTGCCTTTATTACATGGCTGAAATTGTGATTAATGCAGGAAAATATGTAGAAACTTAGATCCTGAATTCCAAAGGCTAAATATAATCCGGCTCACCTTCCTTGTACTGAAAGCACATCTGTTAAAGCAAGTCCTGAATGTAAGGGTCTTCTAGGGGTAAGGGTAGGAGACTGAGACCGAGGTGGGGGTCAACGGGAAAGAGGGAGGGAGCAGGTGTGTAAGCATGCCTGGGACCTGATGGTATTTTGGGAACTTCTGGATCTAGCCACTCCTGAAGTCCTCTGATTTATCAGTTGTATGAGTCAATGCATTCTTTTCCTTCAATTAATTCTGTGACTTTCAACTGAAAGAATCTTAAGTAGAATCAATGTCAGAAAGACTGAGGGGAGAATACCAGAGGAGATGGAACAGGGAACCACAGACTGCGTGGTAGGACAAATGCAAGAGTGGTACCTTTGGTATGGTCAGGAGCTAGATAAGACCAGGAGACATTTTTATGTCTAAAGGAGACAGAGTAACATATGGGCAAATACTAAAAGAGATGAAAAAGTTACCTTAGGAAAAAAATAATCAGTTCTAATCTCCTGAACAATGTATAGCCAGCTATGCTCCGCCACTAAAATGTGGCGCTTTTTTCTCTACTTTCTTCTAAATGTAATACCTGACATGAAATGTTCAGGTGGATGAGAATCCCATTGTTCTATCCGAAGAGATATTCTTCTCTGAAAATAATTTTGTGCAAACTTCTTCCACCTTATCACAGTGATAGCTTCTTAAGCTTAATAAAACATGGCATTTACCATACAAAATAGTTAACAGAATGTAGAACAAGAAATAAACCAAAGATCTTCTTATCTTGGCTTCTTTCCGTCCTGCTGGGCATTTTCTTCATGTTCTCTATCTAGTCTCTGGACTTGGAAATACTTTTGTTGCAGTAATCATTTGGTTCACTTTTCAAAAAAAAATTAATAAAAAGCTCTCCCCTTGTTCCCTTTCTAGAGTGAGCCTGACATACAGCAATCAAAGTAAGCCATTATCAGAGAATCCCCTGCTTTGTTCAAATTATAAACATCAATGGGCATCTCTCTTGGAAATTCAAAGAGCAGGCAAGTGGGGGTGAGCTAGGCTTGCTGTTAGCAAGATAAACCAAGCTTACTTGATGCTTTGTTTTAGCAAAGACACCATAAGTAGTGATTACAGTTCACTTGGGTTTTGCACTGATCCTCAAAATGCTGACAGTTACTTAAGTCACTCACTGGGTGGAATAATCACCCTGCAAGGAACTGAGAGGGTACAACTTATATTATAAAATGGAACTGAGCACATGAGGCAAAGTATTAGCAGGCGTGGTAGAAGAGATCTTTGTCAGAATAAGAGAGATGATTATAGGCATGAATTAGACATCAACTTTACTGGGTACTTTCAGTGACATGAATACAACAGCTAAATTGTGCAATTATAAAGTTAAGCATAACTCAGAATGCATCTTTCTCCTCTTGAAAACAGTTGATGCCAGGTTAGCCTGTGTGAATCACTCAGTGGCTTGCCACAGAGGTTACGTACTATCTTGCTGTGTGAAGCCCTTTTAGAATGGACAGAATAGAAATCCAGAATGCTGTGTCATTAGAAATAAGAGACAGTAGCATTAAATATTAGACAGTAATGACATACTAAATGAGAGCACCCCTTCCAAACACTACTAAATTACCTAACTTAGCAGCTCTGTGTTTCCAAGTTAAAGAAACCAGGAAAACAGGCAAGTGGTCCCTTTTTTAGAGCTGTTCAGTTTGCAATTAGCAAGGAAAACATCACTTCTTTCTGACTTTTTCTAGAGGGGAGAAGGGAACAGAGTGGGTTTGGGAGATAAAATGGATAATTTAAACTGCTGCTTGTAATAGAACTGCCTCATATTATGGGATTATAAAGTTGAAGGAGCCTTTAAGGATACCTCCTTTTGCAGAATCTGCTCAAAAGAAATACTGTGCCCAAACTGTCCTTAATTGGTGGACACATTTTCTATTCTTAAAGATTTCTGAGAATAAACTTGTATAATTTTATCATCAGATAAAAAGCAATCTTTTAGAGTTGGGCATGGTGGTGCGTGCTTGTAGTCCCAGCTACTTGGGAGGCTGAGATGGGAGGATCACCTAAGGTCAGAAGTTCAAGACTAGCTTGGGTAATACAGCACAACTGTCTCAAAAGTAAGTAATATTTTTAATAAAAGACATAGAATAAAAGTATAAATATACAGTAATATTTAAAAAAGATTTATAGTGAAGATTCTATGATCTCCCTCAGAAGCCCACTCCTTCAGTCCCTTCTTCCTACCCTGCATTGGTCCTTGGGCACTCAAGGGGCCTCATCAGCATGAGGCCATACATGTAGTGAGCATTCAAGGGGCTAAATCTGCCTTTTGGGCTGGATGTGGTGGCTCACGCCTATAATCCCAGCACTTTGGGAGGCCGAGGCGGGTGGATTGCTTGAGCCCAGGAGTTTGAGACCATCCTGGCCAACATGATGAAACCCCATCTTTACCAAAAACACAAAGCCAGGTGTGGTGGCGCACACTTGTAATCCCAGCTACTCGGGAGGCTAAGTCACGAGAATCGCTTGAACCCAGGAGGCAGAGGTTGCAGTGAGCTGAGATTGTGGCACTGCCCTCCAGCCTGGGCAACAGAGTGAGGCTGTCTCAATAAATAAATAATAAATCTGCCTTTTCCTTTATGCCTACTTCATATCATGTTTTCTTTGTCTCTATTTTAACTGTGTTATACATATTCCTGAAGTAATGCTTTAAATATAATTTTATAGTTATTAAAGTTTATGTGCCCTAAAGTTTTCAAATTATTTTTCTCTATATCATTGGTCCTTGATAGAAAAACAGGTTTCCCCTAATTTCATATTCTATTCCTTAATTTCCTTGAAATCTGTGATTGTTATCTCTTAGCCATCTTTTTTCCGGAATACTTGTTGTCTTCATTGTCTCTATTTTCCAGCTCCTTAATCACGTCTATGACTTTAATAAAAAGATTAGCTTTATATCAAGTTAAACTGAGGATGTCAGCCGTGTGCACGGCCCTGAGCTCTGAGACAGTTTTTGCCCTTGAGAAGTTGTTGTAAGGAGGAAAAAAGGTATTGCTTTCTGTTGTTGAGACATTGTGACTCAATCCTAGATGAATTTATGTTTCTAAGGCATAATACCAAGCTATGTCAACATGGGCCTTCCTGGCTTCCCATATTCCACACAGGGAAACCAAGATTCGTTCCCTTCCCAGAATCGCAAAGCAGGAGAGGTGCAACGCAAACAGAATTCTAACCAGCATCTTCTGGCAACTTGGGACACGCCCCTATATGGTGACCAGTGCACACTCTCGCCTTTCAATGAAAGCATTCAGTCTAGTTCCTCAGCTGTCCCCACGACAGCTTCCCACTGGATACTTACTCTGGGATGTGGAAAGATTGGAGAAAGCTGACTTTGTTCGACCTGCCAACCATTCCAAGCTTTCATGCATGTTGGCCAAGGCTTTGAGGTCACTGACGTCACGAAGGATGTCTTGTGGAGGGATTAATTTATCACCCAGGTTCCCAATAAGAACTTCAGACTCCTTGCCAAAAGCTGCCCTGAAAAGCAAATTGGAAACACACTTCATATATAGCATGGAAAAGGTAGGACCAGGAACACTGATTTAGGCATGCCTAACACAAGGACTGACATAATCACTATTTTACAGCACGCTCTTTGTCCTAGGTTTAACTTTGTGACACAACTATCACATGCCTGCGTAACATTATTCTGGTAGGGGAAAGAGTTCTCGGAAGAAGAAACAAGAGACTCCAATAATTGTGCCTTCAACAGGGACCAGTACGGGCCTGATTTATACGGTAATAGTCCCTGGGGATGGCGTCTATACGGCTCTCCTGTATGTTTTTTCCCTTGCCTCTTCTCAGGCTATCGAAGTTGATAAACAGCTTAGGGTGTTAAATATATACATGGTTTAAAGCTTATTGTAGTGAAAATAAAACAACCAAGTTAATCTGGCACCTAGAAAATATTGAATGTTCAAAAGCAAGGAAGACCCAGCCTCCTTAACAGAGTAGGTTGTAAATGAGATGGATGATAGGATTCATTCATGTATTTATGCACTTAGTTGTTCTAAAAAGGATCCAACACAAAGTCTAAGTATTAAGGCATTTAGCATTTGGAAAGAGAAACCAAACAAAAAAATCAATGCTGGGATCCTTTTACGGACCGGAAAAATATAATTAAGTGGGTTTCACAGAGAGCCCAATGTCTTCAAAATGTTTTGCAGGGGGAAGGGAGGGGTTGAAAAAATCAAACTACAGGGGTTGAAAATCAAGTTACAAAGAATGGAGCTGGAAGGGACCTGCGATCATAGCTCAGCCACTGCGGAGATGAAGAAGTGGAGGCTCCAACAGTCAACTGTTCTGCCTACGTGACACATGAGCAGCAAAGCTGGGACTCAGGCTGGCTAATTTCCACAGGTTTCTTTCCCTTTAAAAAGGAAGAGAGCTAAAATTAGAAAAGATGACTGAGAATGCTAGGGAAAAAAATCACGGCTTTTCAGGAAAGTTACACACAGGTGAGTAAGCAGAGCTGATGCTGGAGGTTGGAATAGGCGCCTGGAGAGTTTTCTGTAAGTCCCAGGGCTTTTAAAATCCAACATACCTTAAGTGAGAAGAAGCAAGAGCTTAATTTAACTAGAACAAGCCAAATTAAGTTTCGAGCCTGCAGTGATTAATAACAATTGTTGACACATAGAAAGATGCTTAATTGACACATAGGCGTTTAGCACCCAGCGCTACAGCAGATGCCCAATGTTGAAAGAAACAACTGCTGTGAATCAAATGCTTACGTAAAATGTTTATGCTACCAAGTAGTGAGTCATGACTAGCCTCCTTATTTTAGCATAGGGTTATCTTTTTTAAAGGAAAAACCACAGTTGATGTTGAGGCAATGAAGAGCAGTGAAGTGAGCGCATGGAATGTGGGTATGCACCAATCTGATCTAATGGGCTCGGAAAAGGCCTTGGGGTGGGCCCTGAATTCCGCATTTTGAACTGATTTCCAGGTGATGCCCAGGCTGCTTGTCTGAGAAGCATGTTCTCCTTGAATGGCAAGCATGGAATACAGACTTCAAAGTGAGACAAACCTGGGTCTGAATACTGAATCTCCCACTTGCTTGTTGTGTGACACTGCTTAGATTTCCAAGCATTATTATCTAGGGGTAAAAGAACTGACCTGATATGAAGTCATGTGAGGATTAGTTGTGATTCTTTAAGCTTTTCATTGGCAAAATTTCAATAACTATGTAAAACTAGAAAGAAGAGTATAACAGTCTCCCATGTAACTCTCTCCCAGCTCCAACTATTAGCAACTCATGGACTCCATTATTCCATTTATCCTTATTTACCCCTCCCCATCACCACTTTAGAATATTTTGAAGCAAATCATTCAGGTGATAACACAGTACAAACAGTTTTCACTTGGCAAAGCTACTGTTGTCATCATTATTCTTAGGTCTGTTGAGATGTAGTTTGATGAGTTTGAGTCTGTAGTTTATTTAGCGTCGACCCAAGGTATGGGATGATGAATGGATTTAAGTAGTTAAGAGTGGGCAGGAAGAAATATGTTACATATCAAGAGGTAGTTTTACAAATAGAGCCTTGTAATACCAGAGCGTCTCACAGTCCAGACTTTTATCAGCATCTTCAAGAAGTTAATTATTGTGACAGAAACCATTAGTTACCTACCCAGTATCCATTATCCCATGTGTTCTTGGTAAAAGGACCCTGATGTTGTTGGGGGCAGTAATGTGCCCAACTTCAAATGAAACAAAACAAAAAACCCCACTAAATTTTCCTGCCCTTCTTGCAGATGTGGTGGCCAGTGAGATGTAAACTGAAATCAGTAAATGGGCTTCGAGGAAGCCCTCTCAGTTGGCAGAGACCTCTTTTGCCCTCTCTCTTTCTGGAACAAAGCAATGGCAACTGGGGCTGCAGAAGCTCTTCTCAAACATCAGGGCACCTTGAGTACGGAAGCCAGTGCTGAGAGTCCTGGAGCCCAAAGACAATGGGGCGATGGTGCACTGATGCCATCACGGAGCAACAGTGCGATCCCAGACAACAAAAAGGCTTTTGAGCTTCATGTCATAGCAGAGAAAAATCAAACCCTACTTGTTTAAGCCAAGGCTATTTCAGGTTTCTGTTAGTAGTTGCTAAATGCAATTTTTAGCTGACTCATTTATCTAATTAGCATATGAGATGTCATCCTAAGAAAACCTTCTCTGAATTTGGATAGCTCCAAAATCCACTTACTAGGAAAAGCAAAACAATGTCTCCTCCGTGATTCAGGCCCAGAACACATTTAAAGTATTTCCCCTTGGCTGTCACTCAGTCAGGTTGTAAATATTTAGTTTTCTTAATCTGCCCTTATATATCAACTCTTCGAGCCCCTTAATCATCTGTGATAGATATAACAAAAAATGCCTCTGAGCTGGGTGGTGAAAAATCAACAGGGGAGGCAAATGGCTTTGAAAACCAGGCTTGGAGCCATTTTTACGCAGATTAGGTGGAACCCTAGGTGGAATGTGACAATCAAGACAAATGTATTTATGTAGAAGTCTAATCTGCTTGAGTGGGGATCCTGGGCCCTGGGTAAGTCTGCCGTAGGCTGCCTGGGCTTGATGCCTATCCCATTTCCCTCTGGCTCACTGAGATTTGCTTAACCTCCTCAGCCAGGAGAGCAATAGATTGAGAGAAATACAAACTGCCTCATGTTGAATACATAGCAGACACCTCATTTGACAGGAATCCATAATCACCCCCTAACAACCTGAAAAGAGCACAGAAACTATGACACAGAGAAGTGATTGACAGCTATAACCATTTCACACAAAAAATCATTCCTTCGAGGATTTGTGTGTGTCAAAGAGCTTGGTGGAAGGTTTTATGTGTTAGAATAACCTTAAAGGGATGGCTTTAGATGCTTGGCTACAGATTTTTTCCAAACCCTCTAGTTTATTAAATTATGATCTATCTACACTATGGAAAACCATGAAGTCATTAGGAATTATGCATATAAAAAGCTTGATAACATAGAAGAATGTTTGGTATAGCTTATTTTTCATTATGATATGCAGCTGTGTGAAATAAACTTATACAACTCTAGGTACTGTATGATATTAAGAAAATAATTAAATATATGAACCACAAAAAGGTTGGAGGTCTACATGCCAAAATGTCAACTGCGGGATTGTATCATGCTTTGTGATTTTCTATATTGTCCATATATTCTCCAAAAAACAAGTTTAAGTTTTAGTTTAGAGAAAAATGGAACATCTTACCACGTATGAGAGAACTTTCAAGTGGGCACATCAGGAATCCCAGCACATAAAACTGGAGGACATGGGTATTAGTTATTTGTGCCAAAGTGGGAGGCAGTGGGTGCACTGGCCTGAAGCTGGTCTGGACTGGTGGCTCCAGGCTTGTGGGAGACACAGTCATTGTCCCCTGCAGAGGACCCTCACAGCCAAAATGGCTGTTACCTGGCAACTGGACAATATTATATCCTCTTTCTAGGCCTGAATTTTAAATACCCTTCATCTTCTGCTTATTATGACAACACATGATTTAATGAAGACACTATGTATTTTTGAATGAAACAGGCAGCAAATTAACATTGTCTTCAGAAGATGAAGTAATACAAACTCAGAAGTAACAGGTGCTCAGTAATTGCTCAAAGATGATCAGACACAGCCAGGAGCAGAAATCGGAACTCAAAACATGAGTGTTTTGGGTACTGGATGCCGTCTGAGGACTTGACTTTCTAATCGGTTGGCCAACCGGCTCCCATAGAAGCCTATGAAACTAAAGAAGAATGTTAAACCTGTTAAGCTGAATTTTTACCACACAATTATTTATAATCTGTAAAGAGCTCTAGCTGACAAGAATTCATTTAAGATAATTTTGCCAAGAGTGTTAAACCTATTTAACTTAATTTTACCACACAATTATAATCTTTAAAAAGGTCTATCTGACAAGAATTCATTTAAGGAAATTTTGCCAAAGATGCTCAAAATTGTCTTCATTTAGTCTTTAAAGAATTCCGTTATCTACTGAAAGGAAAGCAAAAAAGAAAAAAAAACCCTGTACTTTCAACAGACCTGATACAATTATGAAGGAAACATCACAAATAGTTTCAAGGATTGATCTGCAGACCTGTGCTGTATCCGATCACCTAATACACACACACACACACACACACTCTCTCTCTCTCTCTCTCACACACACACACTCAGACCTGCCCCTCTCTCCCAGCCCTGTCCCCCAAATCTTCCACCATCACCACTTCCGATTGCTGAGCCTAGACCTAAGATAACTAACTGCCCTAAGAGCCTAGGAAATGCTGCCTACAAAGTCAGTTCCCCTATGATAAAGAACAGAGCAGGGGAAAGGCCAAGACTGACTCAAATTACCAAGCCTATTTGACAACAGTGGTAATTTGTTACAAGACTGCAACATAAAACTAATACATATGGTAATGATATGGGTACATAACAGTATGTCTTCATTCTTGGGAAATGCATGCTAAAGAGTTTAAGA